TGCCCAGCCACCCGCGCATGCCACGCGCCACAGTCTGCATAGACCTATGCCATCCTTGGCAGGCGAAAGTGGGTCGCTAAGCCTTATCGTGACCACCGGGACATGGGCCTTCGTTGTTTTTAACCTGGAAGCGCGCCGCTTACGGTTGGCCTGGAAAGCCGCGGATGTTACGGACCGTCGCGCCCTCGTTTCCACGCGCCGGAACTCCCCCGGCTAGATATGGAGAGTTAACGGCGACCATTACGGATCGCGACACTGGAGCACTCTAGTGGTTCACCGCATTATCGCCCAATCCTTTCCGTCCATATTTTACCTTCGCCGACCATTCTCGCGACAATCCGTGCACTGGGCCTGGATTGTTGGCTGTATGGGTAGGTTCCTGAACAGGGCGAAATCACGCAAGTCCCTCAACCACATTCCTCGCCGGGTAACTAAACATACCCTCCAGCTTTCCTCCCAGACCGCTGGACCTTGTCCAGGTCCACCTGTATTTCGACATGGTCCCGAGGTTAAACACCAGCCCCACTTTGCGACGCGGCATGTTGGCTCAGAAGCATCGCAACGTCTCTGCGCACCCACAGCTTCGACTGTCGTCACTGTCATTGTTTCCATGAGGGCTGCCTGGCTGCCTAGGGTTACTTGCAGTAAAAATGGACAGGCGGACTATGACCCATCCACATCGGTCCCTGGCCGGCCCCGAAAAGCCGACCCGCATACGGCGACTGCGCTCTGACCAGTTGGCCGGGCCACGTCTTGGTTCCCCGGCAGGCGGCTCCCTTGGCGTCATGTACGGTAGTTTACGCGCGGCAAAGCTGCAATTCGTACACTTTTCCTTAATTCAAAGGCCATCGCTGAAGCGGCGGGACTCCTAGCGGCGGCGGTTCGTGCGCTCCTCCTCCGTCTCGCACCGTCTCTGCCTGACGGTGACCTGGTGGCAGGTTCCACCCGTTTTCTTGGCCTTGTCGCTCTTCCGGACGTTTGAACCGAAAGGGTTGGTGCCAGGCGCTCTGAAATGCGTGCGCTGGGGCGCTCGCCTTGCGGCGCCGCTTCACGGGTAGCTCGAGTCCGACTCGAGGGCCCGGCGCAAGGCCGTCCGGCCCGTGAGCGCCGCTGTTCGTCTCGAGGCGGAGCCTGTTCACTGTTGACTGCCAAGGGGACCTGCGTCTGCTGTGTTACACTGCTAAGGACAACCGCGCCGTCGCTTAAACGTGGGCTGAGCCTCCTCTTTTTGATGCCCGTTTGCTAAGGGCTGTCGCCGTCAGAGTCAAGCATTCTCTTGGTCCTCTTGCTCGCCTTCGTCCCGTCAAGTCCGGCCTCTTCGCTTTGGCTCAACTCGGCCTCAATCAAAGGAATTTGGTCCAGGATCCACTGAATAAGGATGCGATGGCGTGCTGCATCCCTCTTGGCAGTTTCCAAACCGTTCGTTGAAAGCACGAACTCCGTGATAAGATCGCCCCGTTTCTTGAGCCGCTCCAGGCGGCTCCCGGCAGTCAGCATGTCTCGGGTGCCTTGTTGCAACATCCGTATACGTTCCAGCTCGGGGATGCTCAGACGGTGCGGATGGAGCTGAGTCTTGTCGTAGATTCGCTCGGCATTTTCTTCGGATCTCTTCGCAGCTGCTCTGGCTTGGTCCTCTTCAGCCTGGCATCGCATCGCGCACTCCTCAGTTCTAATATATTCTGCGGTCTCGTCTGGCCGCAGCACCCCCGTGTCTTTGAGCTTCTGCCACTCCTTGTCGTGGTGTTCCTGCCGGCGCTCGATAGCACGCGTAAAGAGATCGAGCCACCAGCACTTAAAGCCGAGGTACTTAATCCATGTTTCGAGCTTGCCCTGTTGTTTCGGGTCTTGGTTCAATTCGAAAGGGCGAGTGAAGCCGTGTCGGGCCAGGCGGCGTTTGACCGCGTCCACGTAGTCGGAAAATTCAGGGCCAGTAACGTCCGATTCATAGCAGTAGTGTCGCTGCCACTGGCGCCTCTCTTGCTTACCCTCCCGGGCCTTCTTGTACGATGATGGGTCGGACTCGAGCTCGGCCAGCTTCTTTTCTGCGACACGCTCGCTGTAATAGCGCTTCAAGTAACGCTTCTGCGCCTCAAGGTATGCTGGAAAGCCGCCGTCGTCGTCATCTTCCAAGTCACGGTTGTCCCTCTGCCATCTGCGGAACATCATCCATCGCTCCCACTGCTTTTGGAATACCTCCCAGGGGTCCTCTGAGCGGGCCCCGCCACCCCGCCACGAACGAAAATAATAGCCCTCCCCAATGTTATCTAACCAGGGCCGCAGCAGCTCCCGATACTTGTCGGGATTCCCGGGGACGTAGTGTGCGGCGCCGATTGGGCCCCTTGGGAAGGACGCGGAGACGTCGTCTAGGAGGTCGATTGGGTAGAGCGGGCGGCCGCCGTCCTTGACGAGTTTGTCATATGCCTCCGCCTCGTTCTCTCTGCTTCGTTGTAGAGCCCATCCTTCAAATTCTGGTCCCGTGGGGGTCGGTGATCGAGATGATCGTGATCGGGCGTTGGTGCCGCCAGATGATGCCTCTCGCAGGCGGGCGTCGAGTTGGTCGAGATCAAGTGGTCGCGAGTGCGCTGCGGGATTCTGAGCCAGGGTTCGTCTTCAGACCCCCAAAGATCATTATTAGCGAAGGAAAAAAAGAATTCTAGGTAGCGGGGGAGGGGGAGGAGAAAGCCTACGTAAGTCTTTCCGCGAGCTGGTCGCGCTCATCCTTTGAAAGCTTGTCCCAGCCGTCAACTGGAAGGTCGAAGACGCCATCGGGACCACGGTTTTTCTGGATAATCACAGCGAGGGCCGCATCGCTCATTGAAGCGATGTCGCCTACAGTCACTTTTGAGGTGTCCGGCTCGTGGGAGGCCATTCTGTCGTCGATGGCAATGGCAAGGGAAGAGATGATCGATGCAGACCAAAGACAGAATTTGATGCCAAATTTACGAGCAAAGGGAAGCTTGCGCTTGTCCGGGCTGGACATGTGAGAAGTAGTGGGTCCACAACGCCGCCCCTTGGGCCTGCCAATCAAGTTGGGCGGATAGCCGCTGTTGCCCCTCCAAGAAACAGAGGGGTTGGCTGCACGCGACACTAACATCGCCCTATCAAAATATCTAATGTTTCAGCGCGTGGTTGTTGTTAGTGCGTTGCGATCCTTTTGCCTTGCCGCAAAATGGATGCGTTGGTGTTGCCTAGGGGTATATACGTAGAGGTTGGTCCGGCAGCAAGCCGTGCCAGGTGCTTGTGTTAGCCTGCCATCTTGTTTCCCTGCTTCTCGTCAGGCCACCATCTTGTTTCCGCTTCCGTGAAACTACCATCTTATTTTCGTTCTTGTCAAACACGTAAAGTTAGCCATGGCAGACACGTATGTCATTGTTCGTGTGTATCCATATGCAGAGAAGGACCCTGGAGAAGTGCCGGAAGCCACTCTAGATGCATTCAAGACCAGTCGGGGCTGTGTCATTCCACGGGAGCAGCCTTCCAAGCGCCAGTCTGCATCTCGCCGTGAGCGACAGTCGACAGAGCCACTCGAAGCCCAAAACGTTCCGGTGCTCGACACCCTTCCATACGTCGAGCTGAGGCTCAGCGATACTCCCGGGTTCCGCTCCGGGTTCGTTTTCAGCTGGGGCCCAAACAGCGACGTCGTTCTCCCCGACAATCGGGGCGTTGGGTACCACCACTTCAGTCTGACTTTCGACGATAAGAAACGGCCCATCGTGAAAGACTGGGGTTCTCTCAACGGTACCCAGGTCACCTACGGCAAGCAAGGACATGGAGTGCGACGCCGATTCCAATGGATCGTCGGCGGGCACCGCTTTCCTTTCAGGATGCAGCCCATCATTGTCAGCCCACGAGCCAGCCCCCCAGTCCAGTTGCAGATTATTGTCTTCCCCACGACATAGCATCGCCGGCCTACATCGAGAAAGTCGACCGGTTTTTCCAGAACGCACCAGCCACTGAAGATCTACTCAGCAGTCTCGACATTGCGAGCCGTCCAGTCACCGAGCGGCCGACAGGAACCCACACGCCTGACACAGGACCGATTCATCTCCGTAAACGACTCGGCAAGGGGTCGTTCGCGGTTGTAATTCACTATTGGAACGTCAGCACCGGAGAGGAGTATGCCCCTCAAGGAGCCCTCTGAAGAGGCCCATCGCAGGGGCCGAGTCCGTATTAACGCTTGGAGGAATGAGGCGCACATTATGAACCTCATTTCGCATGTCAGTACATCACCGTCCCCGTCAATATCTCAATATCCTAGTCTTTACTCTAACATAAGATACACCTACAGCCTCACGTCGTGAAGCTTCTCAAGTCCGACTTTACGCAGGGCCCACGACTACACCTGGAATACGTTCCCTGCGGATCTTTGGCCAATCAACGCAACATCTCAGCTGCCGAATGTGTATCAATTCTTCAGCAGTGTCTATCGGCTCTGGAGTACCTGCACGGGAGCGACCCGCCGATTGTGCATCGGGATATCAAAGCAAACAACGTCCTGGTCCAATACCGGGATAGCGACGGCATCTATGTCAAGTTCGGTGACTTCGGACTGGCGAGGGACTATGATAACATGTCCACAATTTGCGGCAATTTCGCGCACCTTGCACCTGAGGTGTACCAGAACCACCAATATATCCAAGATGGTGGCAAGGGCAGAGTCAGCTATACCGAGGCTGTCGATATTTGGTCCCTTGGTGTTGTGGTGTACGAATTGCGCTGCCCTCTTCCACAGTTCGAAACCCAATACATATCAAGCGGGACGGCATGGCCCAAGAAGCTCATCAATATGTTCAAGAAGGACTTCGAGGAATGGCCCGACGAGCTGAGGAGATTTCTTCTGGACGCAATGGTGGTCTTACTGCCGGAGCAGCGGTGGTCGGCTGGAGACTGCTTTGCAGAAGCAGCCCTTCTATCTGCTCCAGCCATGGACCAGTCCGAGACCGCAGTGGCGGTTTCGTACGTCAGCGATGATGAGCGGTCGACGATTCGCTACAAAGCAGAGCCAAGCATGGCCCAGGGCCTCGAGAGGCAGCCTGGCTCGTCCGAGTATTCGACTCTGTCGACCGATGCCGGCAGATACGACAGATCAGGCGCACCCACCCCTCGGGCTTCAGTTACAGCATCAGCGTTTAGCCGGGAGAGAGCAACGGCGTCAACATCTTCGTCGTCCGGAAGACACAGGAAGCGCCGAGAGCACGGCAGCAGCAGCAGCAAGGCCGACACTGCCTCCCGCCAGCAGCGAGACCGCATCCTTAACAATCGCACATAGGCATCGCTTCCTCCCGATGCATTGGAGGACAATGACCAAGATCAGGATGATCAGGACCGGGAAGAAGACTACAGTGGACACCATCAGGAAGGAATCGATGCAGCCATACTGCTGCATACATTACGGCAACCTGGAATTACGACTGCTTTCGAGCCGATGGCCAGAATTAGTGGGGAGGCGGCCGCGTCACCCGTTGCCAGCAGCTACCACGAGCAAGGTGCGCGCATACATGCGCCACCCGGGCAAGATAATCGTCGCGGCTGGTATTGGGGCCAAGGTAACAGCGCCAGCGTCGACCATTCCTGCGGCGAAGACCCTGCCGAACCCACAAACCAAGTCGATTCCCAGCAAAGTGGACTTTTCAGCTCTGGAGATCCACTCAACCCTCTGCTCGTAGGCTCTTCTGTTGCCGCATGGGGTGGAGTTGGAGAAGAATCATCTGCCCGAGCTACTCCCTCGCATGCCTCCGTCGTGGAGGAGGATGATGATCTTCCGCCGCCATGGAGCCCAGCCCACCCCTTGCCTTCAGTCGCCGTGGCCCATCCACACCTCCCCCCCTCCCTGGCTGAGGAGGAAGTAGAGGAAAACAGCGACCGGCTAAAAGGACATTTCACGGAGCCAGCTCCTTACGTCGGACATCCCTATTCCGCATATGGGCTGGGCGACAACGATCAGCTGCTGTATGATAACTTGCACGAGGGCACCGCCGAAGAGCACGAAGAAGCAGATGGTGGGGCCGGCGATTACCCATCTAACCCCCCAGTGCGGGCGCCGCAGCAAGCCCTGGGCCCCAACTCCCCGAAGGATATCGGGCGTTCTATGTCGAGGGCAGCCCGCATGCTGTATTTTACATACCGAGGACGAGAAAAGTTAACGCTCTGCAACTCGTCGGTATACGCAAAATCTCACGAAATTCACTCAACATGTGCTTTGCTCGGCATCCCGAAATACGGACCGAAAGGCACCGTCGACTACAAGTCGCGGGGTTTTCGGGGCTCTACGTGGACTTTGGCGATGCCCGGATCATCTGCAGGAGCTTCCATATGCCCACGACGGTGATCGATGAGTTGGAGACAGCGGCTGCTGCTGCTCTTGCCGTTACCGGTGGCGATGGCGGATACGCTTTGCAAACCGAGGGAGAGGCGGAAGCCGGCCTGGCTCAAACTGTCTAACGTAGGAAACGATCCTCGTATAGCGCCGCCCATATAGACATTCTTGAAACCGCGTTCTGCAACAATCCGAAGCCCGAACCCCAGAAATACCTCGAGCTTGCGACGCAGCTTTCAGTGGAGACACGGCAGGTCCAGGTAAGGAGGGCTGATTTGCTCTAGCTCCCGCCCCCCTCTCCCCAGCCTCCCATCTCAGAGCGTGAACACCTTGGCACTTGGTCACCAGTGGCGTTTTGCTAACCACCATGGCCCCGCCGTAGGTCTGGTTCCAAAACCGTCGACAGAAGGAACGACGTGTAATAAGGGATGTGGGGCTTTTTCAGTGTTAAAATATGAGAGAAGCATGCACCGGATGGAAAAAACGGTGGGCGGCAGGAGTGACAACTGGCGGACAATACACATGAGTTCCCAACATATAAGGGCACATTGAGAGCACAATAAACAGGGAAGAAGGGGGCTGGTAGCAGTGACAGTTTAGGGTTGACAGCGGGAAACGGCAATGGAAACCTACGAAATACCGGCAGGTGGCTTTAGGCTTTTTTTTCGGTGTCCTACTTCCTGCTGCCTGGCCAGGGAAGCACCCACATTAGTAGGTGGAATTCCAACTGTTAATGGGACGTTAGAGCGATTCTCACTGGCTTGACAACTAGCCGCGTGCGCCTCCCCCGCTGTGGCTGAGGCTACTGGTTCACTGAGACAAGGTCGCGACATTGTCCCAACCGTATCAAAGTCACGCCGTTATGAACGTAACGGAAGGAAAGACGAGGTCGCTAGCAAGATTGTTCATTCAACTTGCCGTCTGAACTGTTTCATGCCGACCCCTATCGCGTGCGGCCTGTGGAGTGAGAGGGACTGTGGACAGGTTGAGGCTCGAAATGCGGGTCTTGTTCGACCATGCAACGACCCCCGCTCTTATGCTTGCGGCAAAGACGATGATAGCCAACATTCTTCGCCGCCGCGACGCCTTGGTATGCCTCAAATCCACGGCAGAGATCGAACCCCATCGACCCAAACGGCTCTTTTCCGCGAAATCGTCTGCCTTTCAACTAACGCCGGCCTTTAAGACGCCGAGTCGCCGTTTGTGCGGGACGCCGGACTCTTTCGCGAGTAAGATTACGGCGGTGCACGTTTCCCGATACAGAAACCTACCGCGCGTTAGGCGCAGAGCCTCTGCGGAGCCCGCGACGGAGCGGATATTTTGGCCGGGACATACGCTCGGGCAAGCCCGGAAGAGACGATTCGGCGCGATAGTTGGAACTGATCCGCGGCCGCTGAAGCGAACACGATGGATAGGCGGACACGCAATAGCGTGGAGCTAAGGACGAGAACGCAGAGCACGCGGCGCATAAGGTATGGCTAGTAATTTTTTCGCGTAGGGAGTTTATGGCTAATGGAGCAATATATACAGGCGAATCGACAGCACCCGGAGCCTAGGCTCCTGGTTAATCCACCTCGTTCCTCCGAGACTTTGTCGGATATCTCCATCGCGAACACCACCCATTCGTTTCCGAGTGGCTGGAGTAGGCCCCGGAAGCGCGCTGCCGGTCGGATAGCTATTTTTCCCGTTCAGCCGATCTTGCGAGAGAGCTCGAAAGATCGGTGTCCGATATGGGTAATAGACGGGATGCCGATGGGAATGCGATCCCGCCGACACCGGCGTTTATTGGGGCCTAATCGTACCGAAAAGATGGCGGATGCTAGATCGGTGCGCCTATGCTTGGACGAGCGGGGCCAATGATGCTTGCAATGTCGGCGTGCCGGGGCATATCCCCCGGACGGCGCTAGCCCGGGGGGTTCGAACTTCGACCGTACCGTCGAATACGCCCTCGATGCTATCCTCGCATATAAGGAACCCAAGAGCTACCCGCCACCATCGAGAACAGTAAGGACGCAAGCTCCACGGAGCGTCATGCCAACACCGCCCATTCCCCTTCTCCGGGTCATTCCCAATCGACAACGTTGCGCTCCTCCCACTCCCGAGGCCTTTCCACTTGCGATCGCATCAAAAAGCTTGGTGGCTTTCCGGTTAATATAGGTCTAGCCTTCGGTCCCGATATTCTGGGGACCGGCCGTCACCTCCTCGAAAAGGGTGACGGCTCTGTTTCCTCTCTGTCCCCGAGTGCCTGCTTGACATTCGCGCCCTTATTGGCTATCTTGCCGATCGTCTTCCCGACCCGGACGGCATTAACGAGTGCATTAACTCCTCCTTCCTCACGGACTAGAGAGTTATACCGGTGATCGATTAGCAGGAATGTTTGCAGCACGGGGGTGGGGGAAGGGAACGAACAAGGAACCATACGATGTGCTGCGTCGCCTAGTAACGTTACCTTCCCGTCGGCAGCTCCTGGATGTATAGCGACCGGAACACGAGCGGCGATTGCACGATTCCCGACGCAGCGGGTCCATCGTCTTGGCCTCCGCGACCCCGCGTGCCAGCAGCTCCTCGCGCCCCGCCGTCGCGTGCCAGGCGTGCCCGCCGCCGTCGACGGCGGCTTCCTCGTCCGGCCAGACAATCATCCAGTGGAGGTCGCCGCTGCTGCCATCCTCGTAGATGATGTTGGTGCCCATGAAGACGGCCCGGCCGTCGGCGCCGGGCCGGGGCAGCCGGAGGACGTAGCCGGAGCGGCCAAGCTGGAGTTGGACGCGCGTGGTGCAAATTTTGCAGGCGGGCTGTCTCCAGGGACATGCAACAGAGAGAAAAAAAACATCAATCAAGCCACATCAACCCATTACGTATTACGCTGTGCAACAATTGTCTATCTGGCGATAGGGTTTCGGCGGCATGTTGGAGCGGACCACAGGGGTTGCGGCTGAGAGGCATGGCTCCCGTGCAAGCGCTGCAACATCGGGAACGTGCTCCAGCAAAGCGATACGAATACACAGTCCGTGCACCATTACCAATCAGCCTCGCACCTCGATGCCCGTAGTGCGACAACAATACGCACCACCATGCAGCGTGCGGGATTTCAGCTCGTTCTTACGACGCTGCAAGTCTTGCGTCGAGCCACGACGCGCTAAGAGGCATCCATACCGAAAGCTCAGCTCCCGAGAGGCCCAACGGATGAAGGCCCTGCTGCTTAAAGCTGCACTCGCTTAACACCCTGGCCGGTAGTGGCTGAGCTTGAAGGGAATAAGGACACTCCCAGTATCATATGACACGTAAACTACCTATTAGAGCTTTGAAATGACAGGATAAGATCAGCCCCAGCACGGCCGCAGTGAACACGGGCCTGCTGTCCCGCGTAATTGTGCCGGACTCTATTGAGGGTACGCCCTCGCCGAACCCGTCTTTGAGACCGAGCTCGTCCAATATGTGCATGCCGTTGGGCAGCATGGCGATGCTGGCACCGACGTGCGGGACCCACTCGCCATGCGACTCGAAAACGATAAAGTCGATGCCGAGCTGCTCGAGGATGTTGGCGAGCGCCAGGCCGGCGACACCACTGCCGACGAGGATGGCCTTAAAGCCGTGTCTTGCCATTGCGGAGCGCTCCCACTGGAAGTCGCCGGCGTTTCCTTTTTCCTCTTTTGGTTGCTGTTTTTACACACACCTCCATATCCCGTCGAGGCGGGCTTCGCTGCTAGTAAATGGTGACCCGTCACTTGGTTCACATGTCATGATCTTCGTCGGTCTAGCCGCGGACTCCAAAGGCAGCAATCTTTCCCCTGTCTTTGCCCGTAAAACGCGACGACGACCCCTCTTCAGCTTCGCCCGATACCAGGTGCTTGACCTACGGGCTCAACACGGTTTCGTTGGCCCGGCATATTTTTGGACTGTAAGCGATTACCGTACACTTGCGTACTTCTGAGCGGCTTTTTGTTCCATTTAAAATCACTCTCAAGAACTAGCATGGACCTATCCTTTGGCCTGGACGCTAACGGTGTCCTCGCCCCGGTCGCCCAGAGAGCGTGATATGCCTTCAACAATAATTTTTTTCCCACTGTGATGCAGGGAGCAAAACACTAACACTTAAAAGCACTATGGGACAAGATACTTCATCGCTTTTTTGAAGTTGTGGCCCATCATGTTAAACAGGACTGGATGCTACCCGGGACGTTGCGCACCCCGGTCGGCTGGATGCGGAAGCAGTCTGGGTGTCGCGTGGGCGCGAGTTTGTAGAATGGGCAGGCCGGCAGCTTCTTTGGCGAGCCGCCGTATCGGCCGTCGTGTGAGTTCGCGCTAGATACTGGGGAGTTTGGTGGAGTCGTATGAGCTACCGCTTGGAGGAACGAAGCGGGAGAATCAGCACTGGCAACCTGTCCCATGGTGTTTCTCATGGAATACACCCAATGAATCAATTTGGCCAACAAGATCTACCCAATCAAATCAATTGACACCAAAATCGGCACTGGAGGTAGCCAATGAAATTAACTTGCTAGTCTATGTAAGCCCGCACCTAATCGGATGTGCTCATTTGGGCCTATCGAATCAACGCTTGCTTCGCCCATAGAGGTAATTGGGTACCAAGCTCGGAAGAAACGACTCGGCGGGACAGCCGGAACTGATCCGCGGCTCCCGAAGCTGGTCAAAGCTTCCCCGCCGATCCCCGCGGTCCCGTGCCCTTGACAGTGGGGTAACACTGCGCTTACGACCGGAAACCGGCGCAAGGAGACGGCCGTGACCATGGAAGAGAAAATCACCATCACCAAAGACTGCCAAGTATTTCTCCGCGCTGATGCAGCGCCTCGACGCTTGCTGACTATGCTGCTACAAGGCCGCGCACGTTGCGTTTGGGTTGGAAGAGACCGTAAAGCCGGTTAGCCTCCTGCGGCCGTACGTGAGCCACTTGCGCAGCTCGTCGACCCAGAAGACGGTGCTGCAGTGCACGAGCC